ATGTGTCAACGTTAGCTGCTTAAAACAATATTAATATGAATAAATATATAAAGAGATAATGCATGCATCAACGAAAGCTTATTTTCTTTGTCTGTATGGGTTTCTTGCATCGTATGCAGCAACACCTCTCAGTCTGCTTCCTCTTTCTATGCTCTGAGCCGCTGCGCCCAGGACAGCTGCAGAGTAAGCAAGGGGGCCAGCTGCTGCTGCTTCTATAGAGCTTGTGTTTTAACTTATTAACTTTTTTATTTTTATTGAATAGCGCTAGGATAGTTGAATAAAGCCGAGAAATCTCGTTATTTATATATGGGGAGTTTGGTTTCGTTGCTTAGGGGAAGCTGAATCATGGGGCCTCTATGTTGATAGAGTATCATCGCGAGCTGAAATAGAGTTAAAATACTTATAAATATTATATTTCCTCAAAAAAAAAAAAAAAACAGCAGATCACCTCTCCAGCCCCCAAGCAACCAGGACCCAGCAACCCAAGCAACTGGGGCCGGGGAAGAGAGGCCTCGCTGCAGCCAGTGGTGCAGGGTATCCTCGCATGAATACACAACCAGGCCCCCTCTGCTGCATGCACTGACGCGAGAGAGAAGTATTAACTACTTCTTTCTTGGTTCTCCATAGTCAGCCTACACAAAGGTATAGATGCACGTACACAGCAAACGCTACAGCAACAGCTATCATGAATATGTTGCGTCAGCTGAAACTGAATACTCCAGCACAGTTTTCTTATCGAAGGATTTTTATTCTTTCCAATAAAGTAAACCTGCATTGATTAGATAGATACACAACAACACCCAGACTTCTCCTCAGTCTGCAGGCGTGCTGTATACACCAGAACGAGGGGCTGTGGCTGTATAGAGAGGATGGATGGGCCCCCTAATCAGCTGCAAGGGATAGCTCGCTGCAGCTTGTGCTGCAGGGCAACCGAATATGCGAACAAATAAAAAAATTATTTCTATGCAGGATTCATCACTGTGAAAAACTGTTAAATATTTGCTTTGCTTTTTCACCAGCTGGCATACCTGAACGTAGAAATACGTGCCGGTATATCTGCATATATATCGCAATATATATATATATATATATATATATATATATATATATATATATATATATATATATATATATATA